CCCCCCCCCATCGTGCACGGCTCCTGCTCCTCTTCCTCCTTCCGCCCGCTGCGGCCGCCTGTGTGTGTTTGTGTGGGCGTTGCATCTTAACCCGGCCCTTGCAGGAATGCGAGGTCTGCCGGACCGTGTCTTGCCCGGAGTGTCTCGGGTTCATGCGAGTCCAGAACTTTTGCGAGGTGCTGCACGGTGTGGTTTTGGGGGGCGCACATCGTGTCCTACAAGCCCGTGTACAAATTTGTAATTTTTCCGTGTTGGTTGTGGATTTCGCTGGTCTGTTCGAGAAAATAATACGCGTCGGCTGTGGGCTGGTCCTGCTGCCTGTTCATATCCCAGCACCCCTTGATGGCGTTGGTCTTTCATGAGCCGACTCCGGAGGGATCCCATGTACTTTTCTTTTGTAATAGTGACGACGTAACACGCATATTCTGAGCGGCGTGATTTGAAAACCCCACTACGCAGGTAGAAGGAGGGTCACTCGCACGCTGAATCGTATCGTCACTACTGCAGTTCTGAAGGAAAAAAAATGGTGATTGGAGGCACCGTGCATCGTATTGAAGGGTGCACGTCTCCCTTTCTAAACAGCCCACGAGGTATCAAGTTCTAGATAGACTTGAGGCGGTTTTTGCACACGCACAACTTTTTTTGCCTGTTGTCGAAGTGTTGATCCTTTTTTTTTCCTCCGACTGTGTCGCTTTTGGCGCATACGATGACCCACCCCCCCTCAAGTTTTCTTTTCTGTTCCACGATCCCCGCGTACGCCCCTGTTGCTTTGTGCGTCGTTTTCGCCGTGTACTGTGCTGCTGTAGGGGTGCAACGCGGACAGGTGTTTGTTGTGTGTGATGAGATCGAGGCCTTGCGATATGTGCGGGCACCCCGTTAGCGCCGATCGCGTGCGAGAGGTATGTACATACATGTAGTGGTTCCCGCTATCATGCCGGTTGAATCATGTTGGTTGCCCTGCATAATGCCGGTGTATCCGCGTGACACAGATGGAAACAATCACGTTGTTTCATTCTTCTGAAGGATGCCAGTTGCCCGCTAGATTGCCGGTTGGAGGGGTTGGCACCTACCAGCAGTTTTGAAGGACCACTACCGTATACGCGACACTAGCGGATGTCCCGGGTACATATTCTACAAGACACCTAGCTCATGTTTTTCCGTTTTTGGTCGCGCCTGTGCGCGTTGCTCTTGTACGAAAAAGACTAAAGAAATAATGGGTCCGTCTCTTGCCACAATCGATTTCATCAAAGATTTCGTCCTATCGTAGCGTAGCACTTCTTGAGTTCTTTCGGACGTTGAGCCTTGTCTGGCAAGTGTGCAGCCCACTCCTCACGCTGCTATTCACGCCGCCATTCCTCCGGTTCTACTGCTACCGCTGTGAGTGAGAAGTATCACCACTACTTGCAGTTAAAGTGGGACCATTCAAATACCGCGTGCGATTGAGGGCGAGCTCTCTGCGAGGAGGTGTGGGCTAGTCTGTGCGGCGCGCTGTTGAACAATAGCAGAATATGTGATGTGCCTGGCAGGGGAAGGTTACTGTCGCGCAGGACAATTATTTATTGGTTCCCGTCTAGTACAGCAGCGCCTGTATACTGGCATGTACACGTGGCCGTATTCATTTGCGGTGCGACCCGTCCTCCAGCACAGCAGCAGCGTGCGGGGAATGTTGTGCCCTTTTCCATCTGACGGCACCCTCAAGCCGTCCTTGTCCCCCCCCCCCCCCCCCCCCCCCCCCC